TCAATCACAGCTATTGCAGCTATGAACTCAGGTTGTGTGTGTTCATACACACAGATTTATTTAGAATTAGCTGAATTTAAAAATTACAGGATTAGAGGTTGTAGTTACATGTCATTTACTGCTATCTCGTTGAATGTGAGTATGCAATCAGCTGGAGTCTGACCTCCAGATAGATAATCCAAGCTCAGACAGGCTGCCACTCACTCATCCTCTGCAACAAAGTGATCAGGTATCACTCATACATCTCCTTAATGAAGTGGGTTGGTTGCCTTTTATCTGTGTGAAGGACAAAATGTACCAGGATTCTTCCTTAATGATGGTGTCAGGTTTTTCAGTGTTTAAAAATAAAACCCAGCAGCAAAGAAGACTCAAAATGCTCCGTCTGCATGTTTAAAATATGAAGCTTAATAGGTCTAACATTTAGGTTTGTATTTAGTATCTGATAACATAAACCCATGACTTTACATCACTAATACAAGTAAATTCATAGAGATGATGCAGTTGGTGCTATGCCATGCTTGGGATTTGAAATACTTTCTTTACAGCTTTTTTTAATCCAAAGCCTGATTTCTTTCTGATACTGAGAGTTTTCTGAATACAGTTTGTGGGGGGCTTTACTTGTTTTCCAGGATATTCCCAGGGCATCCGTGAGCATATTCCTGACCTTGCTCTCCTGCAGAACATGCAGATGGGAAGGCTGTGTGACATACTGGGTATGTTCTGAGCTGCTGGCTGCCTGTTTTTCACTCATTATTTGCCCATAATTGTGAGTGAAAGAGAATGACTGGTGAGGACTTCTGTATTAATGGTAAATATAGAGAACATATAAGCTTGGAAGTAATTTATCTGCTATGGCATTTGCTCCCATCCATGTTATTCATAAGAAGAACATGCTGATTTTTCCCAACTCCATGATAAGGTAAAGCAGCCTCATCCAGTGGCATGCTGAGCACCACAAAAGTGTTTAGTGTTCTACAAAATTAGGTAGCTAATTCTGCTCATGTTCACTCAGGCTCATACGGAGAGAAAGATGTGCTAGAAAAGAGCAAGGCCTTATTTAAAGTGATCTTTTTTAAATTAGCAAAAGAGGCAAAAGACATGCATTTAAAAGTGTTTTTTCCCTGGAATAACAGTCTTCTCTTAAGCAAAGCAGTGAAGAATATGATTTGTCAGTGACCAGCCTCACTGGCTCCCTGGAATGACATACTTCATGATATTTCACATGATCCATGTATATTTCAGTATCATTATTATTTTATAAATGCCATTTAGTAAGTTTGTAACCAAAATATATTGGATCCAGAAATTTACAGTTGCCTAAAATAATAATGTAATTGCCTTTATATATTATCTAGGCACTAATATTGGCTTCCACAGTACAGTTTTATTTTTTTAAACAGATCTTTTTGGTTCTAAAATGATAGTTAGAAACTTAAAGGGACAAAGTGAACACACGAAACAGGCGTTTTTCTCACTTTAAAATCTGTCACACGAAAACCAGTTCTACTGTAAAATGTAGAATAGACCATGAGTAAGATACGAACTACTTAGATATTAACTAAATTATTACCTAGTTCAGATGCTTTACCTCTGCCTTGCAGAAAAGCATTGAGATTTACCATATTGATTTTCTTTTTCTTTAGAATCCCACAGGATTTCCTTGCTGCTTGTGACCTCCCATGAGTTAATCTGTCTCTGGAGCCCCACTGTGTCCAAAGGAGACTTGTATTATCTCTTTATAGGGCAGTGCTAAGAGCAATAAAATGTGCTGCAGTGTTTTATTCAACAGATTCACTTGAGCTTGTCCATTTTTGACAGTGCAGTCCAGCATTACAGCTGACCCAAGCAAATAGTCTTTTTGTACCCAAGCTGGTGGATTTTGAGGCTCATTTTGCAAATCTGAGTAAATGCCTAAAAGTGACAGAGTATTGACTGACAGTTCTAGTGAACTGTCCTTTTAATTATGCTTAAGAAGCTATACAGTAATGAAGTGTATTATATAGAGGCTCTGGGGGGGCTCCAGATACAGGGCTGCTTGTCAAATGCTGTACTCCTTCAGTGCTTCACTTCAGATTTCAGCCTTATGTTCTACTGTGGGTTCTTTGCCTTCAGCAGTGTGGCAAAACAAAGTGAACGGATGGAATCTCTTATTCCTTTATAACATTAGGCTCCAGGTTTCCCTAGTCTGACACTTGCTTTGCTTCTGATGCACTCACATGGAATAGCAGTTGTCCCTGGCACTTCCCAGGCTCTTGTTCCTGTGCCCAGGAAAGACAATGAAAGACTTCCTACTGATTTCAGCATGAGTTGGATCACAATCTAGGAGGGCTTCTTGGCACTGTGTTCTATTGATGTTGCAAGGCCTGTTAATTCATTAGCTCATCTATTAACATTAATATTTTAGAAGAGCAGCATAGTTAAGATTTTCCAAACATATATTAAAGACTTCCACTTTCTCACCTCTGAGTGTTTGCTTATACACTGTCTTTCAGCCCAAGTTGGTTTACATGCAGAAAAGCAGATTTCCACACTGTGGTATTTAAGTAGCTAATCTGCACACTCACATGCTCCACAATAGTTATTAATGGTATCCTACTGTGAGCTTTTATGTGGACAGGACAAGAATGGGAACAGGCCATACAAAATCCAGGCAGCACAAAACCTGGAATTTCATCAGCTTTCTACACTGAATAGCTCAGTTTTATAATTTACTGAAGCTAATGGGATATAGTTTTAAAGCAGTGCCGCAATTCCCATTGATGTTAATGGGAGTCGTGCATGGAAATCCCCCTGCAACACTTCCAAATTCTGCCCCAATATGTTCTGCAGATTGAATTCTGAAAACCAGCTATTTTCTTTGGGTTGCTGACCTGTCTTCAGAGAAATGCTGAACCACAGAAAAAGCAGTTAAACCACTAAGATTTGGGAATTGCAGATCTCTCTTTTATTTCTAGCGCTCTTTTCAGGAAGCTGTTTGTTTGCAAGCGGCCGGGAATTAGCGGATTGCTGCTCTGAATGGAGTCTACCTTTCTTCCAGTAATGAACATTGTGCCCCTTTGTTTTAGATGCCAACGTGGACGTCATCTACATCTGCCCCCTTCATCTGAGTGAGGAGTTACTGCAGTATTACAATAAACTCCTGGGTCTGCAGGCAGCTGTTAGATCTGGGAACCCCGAGGCCATGGGTGACCTGCAGGACAGGTTCAGAATTCTCACCCCTGAAGCTATAAACAGCTTCCCTGTGAGTTTGTCTTCTAATTACTACAGCTTGAGGGATGCGGTAAAATTAAATTGGAAATTTTATAACTTGTAACGCTCTGGTACACATCAGTGAAATATTATTGCAAGTTTAAGGGCTTTACTGATTAGACTACTAGTTAGAGCATCGGAAATAAATATCCTGGTTTAGCTTTATGGACTTAGTTGAGATAGTCTTATATTGGCTATTTGTAGAGCACTGTTCCTTCTTACTGTATGCTTGGGCCTAGGAACTTGATAGATTTATATCTCTAAGCAAATTGTAGCAATAAACCATTCTTATTACTCCAGCTTTCATCTCTGGGCAGCCCAGCATTCAATCAGTCACATCTGGAGTGTTTCTTGTAAGGAAATCCAATGCAGAACTTGTTAAAAAGCACAACTTAAACCAACTTAATACAGAAATATTAGTTCTGAACCTGTGAAATCAGTTTAAAATCCACGTGATAAAACATGGTCTAAAAAGAGACCTTAATTAATGTATACTGTGAACAGTGTTTCTGAAAATCCTGTAGTGCAGTGAATACTCCTTACCGGAGAGAATAATTTTATAAGTATTATGGGGTCTCAGCTGAGATGTGAGTTTTATGAAACTTTGTGCTATGTTTCCATCTCTAGGGTCTATGCCTGGAAACCTGCTCCTGGTTTTGACATATATTAATAATCCTCTTCTAGTTATGTTGTGGAACAAGTATTTGTTATGCCATATAGAGATAGAAACCGATGGCTTAAGAAGGGAAAGAAGCTTTTTATATTTCATAAATGCATTGCTTGACATTAGCATACTGTTCAGCAAAACTCTTGCTATACGTATGAATCCTCTTCTGTTGAAATAGTCCAAAAACACCTAAGTGAGAAAAATGCTTAGTGCTCTTGCTGTGCAGGGAGGGGCCCCTGAGTCAGAACTGCCTGACAGCTTTGTCACAGTTAGAATGAATTCTGTAGGTATGAATGTGTTCTGTTTGCTCTTAAGTTGAAGAAAAGCATCAAGGTGGTATCTGTGGGTTTAGGAGCTGGCTTCAGTGTTGTTCTTTTATCTGACACTGGACACCTACAGGAATCAGAGCTGCCTGTACTGGGCCTTCACCTTATAAAGTGGAATTATTGGGATGGTAAATTGTTGATGAAATTGTTTCCTTTTAAATTTCACTTTGACAATTGCAACTGGTTTTTCTTTGGATTCTGGGTGATCTTTGCAGTACTAACTACCAAATACTGGAAGCTTTAAGAAGCCTTCTACATAAACCATGTTAAAAATATCATCTAAACCACATCAGTTTATGGATAAAAGATGTGCTGCTGAACATGGACAGGCTGTCCAGGAAGGGAAAATCTCTTTCCTGGATGCTTTTGGCCGTGGTGATTTGGCTGACGTAGTTTCAGTGTAAAAGCAGGTTGTTTTCAGGCACATCTTGTGTATAGCCTTCACACTTCCAATTTCTCTTGGTCTTCCAAAGAAAGTTTCTTTTCTAGGTGCACCTGCGATTTCCTGGGAACAGTTACATGCTGTGATGTAGGGAGCTCACCTTAGTTACAAGGGCTGATGCCAACATCAGCTTCTCTGATCTTCAGAAGCTTAAAACCAAACTAAAATAATCAATAGGCTTGAGAAGCAAGAACCAGCCCTTTGGTTAACCTCCGAAGCACTGTTCTGTGCAGTCGTGCTGGAATTCTGAGGATTCCTCTGCTCTGCTTTTACCTGCTGCCACTCACACTCCTATATATCATGGCAGCCCTCATGC